GCCTGCCCCAGCCCCCTCCCCTGGCCTGCCCCACGCTGTTGCCTGTGTCCATGGGCTATGCATCTAGGTTCTTTGGCTCCTCTCTTCACCTTCTTTTATCCAGTCCCCCCAACCCCCTTCCCTCTGACAGCTGTCAGTCTGTTTCATGTATCCATGCCTCTGGTTCTGTTTTTTCGTCAGTTTACTTTGTTCATTAGATTCCACATAGAATTTTCTTGTTTTTAATGTAATGTTTTGATTTGTTAATATATTTCCATGATTCAAGAATTAAAAATATTAAGATATATATATAGTGAAAACTTCCCTCCCATCCCTATGACCCATTAACTTAGACCCCCGAGAGGAAATAATTGTTAGTGTGTTATCTGACTCTCCATAATTTTCTTGTACATACACAGATACATATAAATGTATTCTTGCTTTTCCCATATTTTTCACACACATGTGGGCCTGTTATAAACATTATTGTTCTGAACTTTGTTTTTGTTGTTTTAATTAAAAGTATTTTTGGAGAGTTTTCCAAATTATATGTAAGAACATTCTCATTCCTTTTTATGGCTTTAATATTTTTTATTTGAATTTTAGAGAGAGAGAGGAAGAGAGAGAAAGAGAAGCATTGATTTGTTGTTCCACCTACCTGTGCATTCATTGGCTGATGCGCCATAATTTAGTTAACTGTTTCTCTATTGAGGAGCATTTATATTGCTTCAAATGTTACCAGGCCCGGCCAAGCATGACTCAGCGGTTGAGTGTTGACCTAGGATCCAGGCGATCGGAGTTCGATTCCCGGTCAGGGCACATGCCCGGGTTGTGGCTCTGTCCCCAGTTGGGGATGTGCAGGCGGCAGCCAGTCAATGACTCTCTCCTCATTGATGTTTCTCTCTCTCTCTCCCTCTCCCTTCTTCTCTCCAAAATCAATAAAGATATATTTAAATATATATATATATTACCAAGAACTCATATAGTTGTTAAAATTTTCACCTCCATATTAGCAATAATAACAGTATATTAATAAAAGCTTGCCTAATTTTTCAAAGAAATCTATTTTTTAATGCCTCAATCATTTAATGGATATGTGCAAATTTGGCCTTTCATTATACTCCATCCTTCACCCTTTCTGTTTCCCTTTTAACAAATACGCGCTCAATTATTATTATTGCACTGGTTTGTAAATGATGCATAATAAAAACCGACGCCCAGCCAACCCCACCCCCAGTCTAACCAAAGAGTGCTCATTGGTAAATACAAGGAGAACAAACATGCAGCAATGATATCAGATGTCACTGAACGATCACAGAACTTATGTCCACTGAAGCCAGGTGCATCCATCTTCTCAGTGCAGCTCCCAGCAACCCATCGGAAGTAGCACTCATCATGAGACCTATGTGGGATCCTGGTTTAAAGCACTGTCATCTTACCATCACTTGCTGGGAATTTTCTCTTCAGCTCCCAGTCTTACCAGCTGAACTCTATTTAACTATGCTGTGTTTCTTGGTTTCAGATGGCTATACCACTGATGACATTGAGTTTTACTGGAATGGAGGAGAGGGAGCAGTAACAGGAGTAAATAAAATTGAGCTTCCTCAGTTTTCAATTGTCGACTACAAGATGGTATCCAAGAAGGTGGAGTTCACAACTGGTGAGGATGTTTCCCCCCAAATAAACTAAGGGCCCTGTGAAAGAAAGAAGATGTTTTCAACCAAATGATGATCTGATTTTTTTTCTGATTTTTTTTTTTCAACTCAGGTTCATATCCACGACTGTCACTAAGTTTTCGTCTAAAGAGAAACATTGGTTACTTCATTTTGCAGACCTATATGCCTTCCACGCTGATTACGATTCTGTCCTGGGTGTCTTTTTGGATCAACTATGATGCGTCTGCAGCCAGAGTCGCACTAGGTAATGCATGGCCAGCACCGCAGAGAGCTGGTGGGATTTAGCTTCAAACAAATAACCAGCGTTTGGAATTACAGGCAAGGGCCTTCTCTCGTAGCAAGCCAAAGAACGGGATTAACATAAGAGTGCTGGGTAATAAGCATCTATGTGTAAGCACTTACAGAGTGAATGTTTTACAATGTATTATCTTTTCAGCATTTTACCAAAATTAAAAAAAAAAGATCTTGGAGGCCATTCAATACTATGTAAGTGCTTCTTAGAGTCTTTTTAAAATTTCTTATTACACTAATTTTTACTAACTGTCTGATGATTTTCTCTTCAGTCCCTGCTTTCTACAGTGGAGAATCTTTACAAGGTATTATTCTCAAATGGATTTGAAGGAAGGTAGACATCATGACTATTAACAAGCTATGTGGAGTGTTGGGAAATACTATCTCTAGAACATTAACTGAAGCTAAATCTTACTGATCTGAGTCTCCCTTAAATGGAGCTGATCACACTTGACAAGTCATCAGCTGTATTAATGATCTGTGATCAGCACAGAATAAAAATGGTTTCCTTCCTGGAGGAACAAAATTCAAGATTAATCTTGCCATGGTCGAGTAGTTGCTGCAAGCTGGAAGGCTATATTTGAGATTTTAAATTGTTCCTTGGAAAGCTAGAATGTATAAGGTCTGTTTGATGAATCAGAGCGTGTGCGGGTCTGTCTCATTGTTTATCATAGAGCCATTTCAGTTGTCACTTTCTGGGGCTTATACACACACACAGAGACACACACACGCAAGTATAAAATTTCTGGCTAAGCTAACATACACATCTCTTCTCTTGAGATTACTGAACTGGGTAAGATGACCCGCATACCCTCTCCTACCTAGGCTAATTGTCACCTCTACAGCTTATTTCTAATGACTGAGTACCTAAAGCTCACAAAGTCAAGTTAAGTGCTGGCAGTCCCTTATCAACATTTGAACATTCCAAGACCAAAGAAAGTAGACAAATAGTTTATCATAGCATATGTATGTATCTGCATGTTATTTGGATGTGAACATGAAGATGTGTATGCTGTGGTTAAGGAAACTCACTGGGTGATGTCCACAGCAAAGAATAACAACTACCCAGGCTATAAATTGTGGTTCTCCTTGCACTTCCATCCTCAAAGCTAATGCTATTTTTATTAGAGATGTCAGCATGTAAGAATGCTGACTTAACCTGTACTTTGAAATGTAAAACCTGTGATATTTTAATACTTATCTAAGTAAAGAAGACATTCATTTACTAACCTAGATTGCTTAAAAAATTTAAACCAAGGACTAAAAGCAGAAATGCGATTAGTGAACTTGTAAATGAATTGTTTGTTTCAAGCTCATTCGCTAGAATTATACTAGATGAAATTTAAAATTTTATTCCAACATAAGACCATTCATGATGGCATTTCATATTAGTATAGCACAATTGAATTTATCACATATCTAAACCACTTTAATGTTTTTTATGGTAACCTTGACTTCCTGCTTTATCTGTTCTCCTAAAAGTTAGTCAAATCAGGAATCTATCTAGAATAATCTCATTGACAAATGAGTGCTAAACTAGTTTTTCCATTTCCATTTCCTACCATCCAGACACTTTGCCAGTTTTCCTTTGTCTGTAATATTCATTTCACGTTTTCTGCCTTTATTTTTAAGGACTGCTATCAAGTTTCAGGTTTTTCCTTTTCATCTCTCTGCTTTTATTTTAAATGCCTTTGTTTAACAGCTCCTTGCTTTTTTTGCCCCTCGCTGGGCGATCTACAGCAAAATAACCAATCTCAGAGTTTCTCTTTATTCAGCTATAAAACGGAACTAATATACCTGCCCTATCATACTCAGCAAGCTGTTACGATGGCCCATAAGATAATTCATAACAAAGTGTTTAAAACGATAAAACACTAAACAAACATGTAATATTAGTATTACAGCACAAACTCTCTACATGAGATTCAACTTCTTTTACACTTCTTATTTTTTCCAGTTACCATTTCATCAACACCAAATATTTATTATGCAGCTACACAAACGTTATATGGTTATCTATTTAACAAAGTAGATAATGTGTAATCTTCCTTTTAAGAACTTATTGCCTTAAACTTCTTTAACAAATCCAAGTTGAATTTTTTAAGTAGTCTTTGCTTGGCTCCAAGGAACTAATTCATTCTTGATTCTGGAATCAAGAAACTAGAGGTAATATCTGAAAACCAAAGCAATAAGATTTTATTATATCTAAAAAATACATAAATCAGATGCTTAATGCAAGTTATGAACTTTCTTATATGCTTCTTCTTTTAGTGTTATCTCACTATCAATTTATTTTAAAATGTAATACTGCTATTTTAAAATGTAATACACCTTGTGACGTAGGTGTATTACAGATTCTTGGAATGAAATAGGTTTCCTCAAACTGGTCACCAACTTTCAGCTTGGTAGTGGCTGCTGTGGGGATTAGTATCACAAGGACAGGTTTAGAAGGGAAATGAGATGCTGAAAGAAGGAAGAAGAAAGATGTAGCACATAACAGAATGAGGGATATTTGGCATTAGTCAGTAGGCATATCAATGGTATTTTCATATGCTTTTCCATCTACTTGTCTTTTTTCTTGGTGCATTATTTTTTCATGGTTTTTAACTCTCCATTAATGACACAGTCCCACTCTGTGATTTGTTTATGGACTACAGAAGGAGTCTGCAGTCCTGTCTTTCAAAATGTTTGCCCTTTCTGCCCAGTGATTTATTGCATTACCGCCATCATCCTCAGGCTTCAATAAGGGAATGGCATCTGTCCTCTGAGTCTCAAAAAGAGCAACTTAACAAGTGTGTTCAGCTAAGCTGTGTCTTTCTGATTCACAGGAATCACCACGGTGCTGACAATGACAACCATCAGCACTCACCTCAGGGAGACCCTGCCAAAGATCCCTTATGTCAAAGCGATTGATATTTACCTGATGGGTTGCTTTGTGTTTGTGTTCCTGGCTCTGCTGGAATATGCCTTCGTAAATTACATCTTCTTCGGAAAAGGCCCTCAGAAAAAGGGAGCTGGCAAACAGAACCAGAGCGCCAATGACAAGAACAAACTGGAGGTGAATAAAGTCCAGGTAACATGCTAAATATTCCTAACAATATTCTCCTGAAATTTAGCAGCAGCATGTGCTCTCGGGGCTCCAATAATAGAAAAAAAATTTGGTTTATTTTTAATAAGGCTCAAGCAATCTTTCATTTTGCATATTTGATAACTGAGGATGGAAGAAGTTAGATTCACGTTTACATAGATTAGTAACATACCTGGGCCTAAAATTCAACCTCAAGTTCTTTATTCTAAACTACATAGATATAAAACTGTATGCAAAAGAATAATTCCAGGTCTGCTTGATAAATAAATGAGAACTAAAATGAATAAACTCTGCTCTTAGAAGTGGAAATGAGACAATATAGCACAGTGGTTACAACCACAGACTGGAATCAAACTGCTTGGATTCGATTCCCAGCTCTGCCACTTGCTGGCTTTATAACTTTAGGCCAATCAACGTATGTAGTTCCTCATCTAATGTCAGTTTTCAATGTCATCATCCATAAATGTGTATTATTATGGTATACCTATATCACAGAATTGTTATAAGAACTAAATAAGGTTTCTTTTTTTATATTTAGTATTTAAAACAATACCTGGAACATAGCAAGTACTCAGTAAGTATTAGCTGTTATCATTATATACAAAACACTGTCACTCTTCTTCTTTTTATTAATAGATCTTATGACCTAAAATGCTCACTGGGTGAAATTAAATTAAAATTAATGCAATTAATGCACCATTTATTCTTTTAAAACATCTACTTCTATGCCATTTTCACTAGAATCAGTTTAAAATTGTGTACATTGAAATGCCATATTCACTACAAATTGTTTTCAAGGTGGCACACAGGGTAACAACTCAAATATCCATTCATTTAACCACTGTTCTCAGCACTGGGGACATTACTCGGAATGAGACGAAGTTTCTTGCCCTCATGGAATTCAAATTCTAATGTGAGAAAACAGGCAATGTACACACAAACCAGAGTCAAGAGGATGATTTCAGGTAAAGTTATGTGCTATGAAGAAAGTAAAACAGAGTAATGAGGATGAGAATGATTTCGTTCAGGTTCAAGGGAACAGGGAACTTTGATCAGGTGGTCAGGAAGATGCCTCTGAGGAATTATCATTCAGAGACCTCAGAGATAAGAAGCAACCATGCCATGTCCCATCTAAGCAAAGGCAGTAAGCGCAGAGGCTCAGAGGCAGGAATTGCTTGGTGTCTTAAAGTACTGAGAGAAGACCAATGTAGCGAGAGCACGGTAAGTGAAAGAGAAATAAAGTAGTATGAGATGTGGCTGGAGAATCAGGCAGAAGCCAAATTAAGAATCTTCAAGGTGTATCTTCATGCTCTTTAGTAGGATCTCAAATTTGGACAAACACTGTCAGATAATTAAAAATTACAAGCAAAGGAAACATACAGACTCAGCCACATGGTCAAAATGCAAAGCAATGCATTCATTAAATTTTTATTCTTTTTTTTTTTTTAAACATATCTTTATTGATTTCAGAGAGAGGAAACGAGAGGGAGAGAGAGAGACAGAAACATCAATGATGAGAGAGTCATCAATCAAGCCCATAACCGGGCATGTGCCCTGACCGGGAATCGAACCCTGATCGCCTGGATCCCAGGTCGACGCTCAACCGCTGAGCCATGCCCGGCTGGGCTAAATTTTTATTCTTGAGTGAAACACTATGCTGGATACTAATGGAGAAAGAATAGGCATGATACTTGCCCTCTACAATCCTATAATCTTGCTGGGTAAGAAAATTATACTCATATGAGGTGACTAGAATATCAAATGAGACAGGATGGCATTTATTTTGAGGAATATATCTGAATGGAAGAAGCTTCCCACTGTCTGATTGCAACCCTAATATCTTTAAAAGTACTTTAGCCATAGTTTTCAAGGCCACCTCTTTTCTATTCCCATCCCCATCTCAGTTGCCTGTAACCCTATTAGCTGGTCTCTGCATAGCTTGGAATGTGTGTTAGCTGCTACATCATGGGGGAAGGCCCTACGTAAATAAAGTGGTATAGTTCCACTGGGAGGGAAATTCAGAAGGTATGAACTGGATAGACACTGAAAAGATAGGTAGAATTGGGAAGGGAAAAGGGAGGAAATGGCCTTTCAATTGGCTATGAAAGCAATGCTCTATAGAGAGTAATTAAATGGAAAGGTCAAGCAAATGGAAATCTATTTATTCCAATAAAATAGAGGTTATAAAACAAACTTTAACCAAACCCTTTGGGGCATTTGTCATGATTCCACACCAGGATATAAGAACTTTCTAAGGTGCTAAGGGAGAAATAAAGGCAGGAGGAAAGTCTCATATATTATATCATATCTAGACATATTATATATATTGCTCTGAAAAGGACTTAGTGACTGGCTAATAAATAATTTAAATGTTCCCACCTAGCCCGGCTGGGTGGCTCAGTTTGTTGGAGCATCATCCCGAACACCAAAAAGGCTGCAGGTTCTATCCTTGGTCAGGGAGTGAAGGGGGGCAACCAAGCCATGTTTCTCTCTTATCTCTCGCTCTCTTTCTCTCTCAAATCAATTAAATATATATATAATATTTTTTAAATGAACTATTGATACATGCAACAACTTGGATAGCTCTCAAGGGAATTATGCTGAGTATAAAAAGCCAGTCTTTAAAAGATCACATACTGTATGATTCTATTTATATAACACTCCTCAAGTAAAATTATAGAGATAGAGAACAGATTAGTGGTGGCCAGGAGTTAGTGATAGGAGGGGGTGTGTGATTGATTATAAAGGGATAGCGTGAGGGAGAGCTTCGCAGTGGTGGAATAGTTCATATCTTGATTGCAGTGGCACTTATGTGAATCTACACATGTAATAAAACTACATGTATCTATACACATTCTACACCAATGTCAGTTTTCTGGTTTTGCTATTATACAATAGTTAACTAAGATGTAATTAATGGGAGAAACTGGGTGAAGTGTACATGCAACCTCTCTGCTATTTTTGAAACTTTTAGGAATCTACAATAATTTCCAAAAAAAAGTTAAAATAAAGACCAGAGGAAAAGATTAATAAGATGCATGAAGAGATGGAGAGTCTCAGGGGAAAAAAAGAAACTATAAAAAAGAGCCAGTGGAAATTTTATTTTTCAAATTCTATTTTTCAAATAGAATTGAAAAAACTTATTTGATGGATTAGCACCAGATTTTATACAGCAGAAGAAAGGATTAATGAAATTGAAGACTACATTGGCCTTCTCTCAATTTTTTCACTGTACCAGTTCTTACCGTAAATGCTACTACCTCAAGAGATGCCTTAGCTGACACTTCTCTGTTGGGTTATATTTGATACCCTTATTAGTCATCTCATGGCATCCTGTGCCATTTCTCCATGGGCCTTATCACAGTTGTGAGTATATGTTTATTTGTGTAATTATTTTTAATGTCTCTCTCTTTATTAGAGTGCAGGATTCCCAAGGGGAGGCACTCTATTATGTTTATTGCTCTTTCCTCAGCGGATGGAACAGAGAAAATACCAAATAAGTACTTGTGAATGAATGAATGAATGAATGAATGAATGAATGAATGAATGAATGAATGCTAAAGAGGCCTCCATTCAAGATGAGTTCTTAGATACCACACAAGGTTTTGAGGGGCACATCATAATGTTTTACAAAATCCTTACATATTCATAATAAGTAAGAAAAAGAGACCATATCCCACTTTAGCCTCTGCTTCTGATTTTCTTACCACTTTTATCACTTTTCTTTTTAACATTTCCTAAAGCATGTTTTATATCAACCTCTGTTATTCTTTCTGAATCACATTGTCCTATGACTTCAGATAAACATAATCTTCAAAGGAGTGTCATGGTTAAGATTTTATAAACTTCTTCATATTTATATGAAATAATAGCACAGTGTTACCATCTGGGGCAATTTATAATCATCCTGCAGCTCCTCAGCTTTTCCAGATCCTAACTGTCTTGTTCTCTTCTAAAGTCAGGCCTCAGACAGACAATGTGTCAGTAACAGTGCACATGTGTTACTTCATCTGTTCAGTGTATCATCTCCAGCAGTTAAGATGATTATGCAACCTGTGTGGTATTTTAAAATGCTATCCCTGGTTGAATTTAACAACTAGAAAATGATATGTGATTTTTCCTTTCATTTAGTGGTTGACCTTCTTTCTTTTTAGATACTTGTAAACAGTTGAATTCAAATGACATACATGCTGTGGTCCCAGAGAACTTTCGTCTGAGAGATCCCTCACATTTGCCTTGGTACCCTGGAGCATAGAGTGGCATTGATCATTTATTACACGTTACTTTTGATGGCCTTAGCTGGGCAGTCATGTCAAGGGATAGCTGTATTGAAGCTCAGAAGTGCTTGCTTTGACTTGATTTATTTTGCCACCAGCTGCACTAAAGCATCTTTTTAGATGAGTACAGATGCTGAATCCAGACATTAGGAGAGTTTCAACCTCCAAGGTGATAAAAGCTGTAATTCATGGGCCCCTCGGGCATCATTTGAAACTAGAGATGGTATTTAGAGTTTTGAAAGACACATTTCACAATACAAGTAGGCTGTAAGTAAGCCACTTCTGGTTCTGGGCCACTTTTACACTAACCTGGAACATACGTGGTTGTATCTGCTGTCCACAATGCCTGCCCATTTGCCAGTTGATCCACCTAAGATTAAATGGTTGCTGCATGGATGGTGTGGTCAGAGATTGATTCAAAATCATTCTAAGTCATGGAGGACATGGGTAGAATCTGCCAAAGATTCATGCCAAATGTGCAGTTGCAATCCCAATAGTCAAGAAATAGAATTTTCCCTTAAATTAGATATTGATACTGTAATATGGGCTCTTTTCTCCCATTTTTATTCTGTGGTGAGTCATCTACATTTTAGACACCTACACTTTTAGACAAATTTGTAAATGCAAATCAGTTTTGTGTTATGACTAATTCCAAGATACAAAGTGCATCATGAAAGTAAACAGCTCTCTCCTTAAGTCTAACTTAGA